GGGGGGGGGGGGGGTTATACTGTATTCAAACCTGTGCATCAGATATGCCATCATTTCTTTTGATTCTCTTGCTCTTGAAAGGCACATTTGGCAGTTCTTATGAATCTGCACCTAGCATAACATCTGCAGTTTTGTGTTACCACTTTTGAGTTGCCAAAACTAGTATACTGAGGTTATGCATGGTTATATATAACCATGTGATATAAACTTGTCAGCCTTTTTGGATATGTGACAATATAGGATGAAGTGAATAAGGGTCCAATCACACAGGCTTAGGCACAAGTCAGTGACCCCAATTTTTCCATAGCAACCCACTTGTCGCTGGGAAAAAATTGTGTATTCCAAAACTGGTTGGCTAATAACTCCTTGTGACTGCTTTGGTTGGTTGTTGGTCTCTGATGATGCTGCGATCTTAGTTTGGACCTGTCTACAAGCACTGTACAACTACTCTCGAAGCTGTAGTGAAACGGGGGACTGCAAAGTAAAAGTTGTATGTTTTGAAAAATAATAGCTGCATCACCCTTTCTCAAGTTTTTTTTGTGGAGAACCATACAAACTCACCAGTTTTAGTGAGAGGTAGCAGCCTCCAGGAACCACTTCCAACGAGTTGGGGAATATACATTACTTGTATTACGTCTAATATGTCAGACAGCACAACACTATGGCTTCTCTCCCTTATCAGACACTTTCACAAATCTTCTTCCTGTCAATACTTCAAATCAAACTCTGAAAGGATGTTTGGTTTCCGAACGCTTGAAACCGCGTCCTCTCTCATCATCATCATTAGTGCCTTTCATGAGTCAGCATTATGGTAAAGGGACTGGCGCTTTTCTACTCTCCCAGAAGTGCTTTGAAAGATGCCACATTCAGCCATTCACATAAGCACTTTCTTCTGTGCTTTTTTAAGTGCTCTCTTGCTAACGTTCACACACATTCATCAGAGAGCAACTTGGGGTTAGAATCTTAAACATGGATATATGGCATCGAACCACCAACCTTCCAATCAGTAGATGACCTGCTCTACCTACTGAGTTACAGCCACCATTAGTTATACTCCCAATCATTCAGCACACTGGGTTTCCTTTTATTAACGTTTTTAAGGGGAAAGACTGTACGAAGTACTGATTTTGAAAATTACTTTGTTCATAGTTCTCTGTACAGTTGCATATTATAGTAATAACACATGTATATGGAAAATTCCAGCGCACACCTGGACTTGCCTCGTGGCGTTTGGGAACTCCTTCATTCACCTGGTTAGTTCATTCATCTGTCTGCCTGGCAGCGGGTGAGGGAACAGTAGGGCATGCTGGGTTATGGGAACTGAGAGCAGATGACACAGTCACACATCTCAGAGCGGATACAGTCCTGCTCTGATGTCTCTGGCTGGAGCTGTTAGCGGAAGCTGCAGTGCCAGAACCAACTCTGGCCCAGGACACGGGAAGTGAGTAGATGGGTCCGCTGAGCTATGTTATCACTGGCACTCGGACTGGAGAGTGTGTGTTTGCTTATGCATGTGTGTGTGTGTCTGTCTGTAAAACTGACAGACTGACTGACCGTCGATCCCTCCGCTGTATGCATGAT